GCCTCAACATACTGCACCAATTGTTTTTCCTCATCTCTTTTTCCTAGATACCTCTATGTATATATTTGTATCCCTTATTATAAGGGTAAGTTATACTTTGTAATATTAGCGCTCCACTGGGCTTTGTTGGTTGTGACAATTTGTCTCACTTATAACGCTCCACTCTTCCTCCTCATAATATAGGAGCAGAAATTAGGAGTTGTTTCAAATTTTATTTGCTCTGACATTTTCATAAGGTTTGTTATCAGAAAAATATCTTGCTCCCTTGTCTGGATAACTCTTACTCTTTCAATGCAATATGCTCTTTCTTTGCCAACTCAACATTTTGCTGTCTAGTTTACAATACTAATGGTACTTTCTTTTTGCTGTTCTATAGAAATGGAAAACATTTATTTTATGTTGTGAGATTATGAAATACATTTGTAAATTAGAAAGAATTGAATAAAAGAAAATGAGATTGGAAGGGTAAGGTCATTTTCTGGAGACAGCAATGGGATTAATGTGACACAGATAAGGTGGGAACAAGAAATGTTGGCAAACATCACACAACTTCTCCATAATTTCCCAGCTCACTTTCCATTCCATAATTTCTGAGGTTAGCCATCATGTTGCTCTGAAGTCTCTTCTGTTCTTGTGCCTAGCTGGCAATGAGGTTGTAGTATATGTTTAGTGGCATCTGATGTACTCTGTTCTGGCAATTTCGTCGGAGACATAATATGCCAAGATTTTTATATTTAAGATATTCCTCACTTAACATTAAGGTTTTGTTTTGTTATTTTGATATTTTTAACTAAACTTTGCCAAACATGACAAGTTAATGTCAATCACAACAATAGCATCGGAACATATTTTGTACAGCTCCTGATTTCAGATTCCACAACATCCATAGCCAATTTGGTAAGTGATGGCCTTATATTACTAGGGTTACTTCTAATTATTTTAAATCCCTTTATAATTTAAACATTGCATGAAATATATAGAGTGATGCACGTGTAGATGCACAATGGAATAGATATTCAGCAAACAGGTAATTGAAATATGAAGAATAACTCCTTCCACAATATAACTAGGCAGGAAAACATCAACAACATTGTTTAAAATGACCCTTTTTCACAACCCTTAAGTCTTTTTTTCCCATGTTCTTATTTCCCTTTTAGACATGTTTTATGTTTATACCACTTTTTAAACATTTGGCTTACTATACCATGGTAATTCAACCCTTCTCTCTGGAAACAACTCCCTCTGGGTTCCCCTCTAGCAACCAATTTGTCATGCTTTAGTACCCCAGTAAGTAGCAGCTTCCCTGTAAGGACACATTCCGATAATGGATTATAGAGTTGGATTCTTGCTGGGATTCATATTATGCAAGTGTATTATTATTGGGCTGGTGATGTGCTGTGTTCCACTTCCCTGACAACTTGTTTTGCAGGTCAGCTTTGGGAACCAATTCTCACAGCTTCCCTCTTGGCGCAAACCCTATCGGTGCCTGTAAGTTCCCCACTGTAAACAGTCTATTACTATAAGGTAACAACTAAGCCCCTATAACATTAAACAGCGGTTAGCTTTATGCCTTAGCAACTCAATGTATAGCTAATATTTGGCAATAAAACCATAGCAAAACACAAATCAGAGTCCATCAGATAATTCATATGAAATATTACTATTTATTAACCAAGTGAGATCCATCCAATTATGCCATTTACAATTAGATTGAGGCCTAAATATCTTTACAATTACATTTAGTAAATGTATTAATACATATATTCAAGAATATTATTATTACAAAATATGTTTGACCCTTTTAGGTATCATGGCAGCTATTTAAAGAAACTATTGGTATTAGTAAATCGCACACGCCATTGGGAATGGAGGCCAATCTTAGACATTTACAAGCTAAATAGTTTATTACATGTGAATAAATTTATAATAGATTCCTGGAGTGCATATTATTAAAATATCTTTTTAATAATAAAAAATGAAAGAAAATTGTGGACTGAGCCTTTCTTATAAGAAATATTTCAGGTTTGGAGTGGACAATCATTATCAGTTCCAGAGTATTCTTTACAGCAGTAACAACAGAATTGAAAGCTCTGATCTTATTCATTGTGAAGATAAGACTGTTGGGTGTCTCAATATTCTACTATCTGGACAATTCCAGGGTAAGTCAGTAAATAAAGGGTTTTGTCAGAATGGACAAAATTCTTGGAAAATGGCTTAATTCCAAACCGAATGCGAATTCTCATATTTGGCAATCAAACATTTTTGCTCAAAATTCAGTCAATCGATCCGAATCTGTGTCATTTAGTCAGAAACATTCGGTGCCAGATTCAAAATCAATGCATTTCATATCCAAGTCCTATGCATGGGGTTTATTGTGAATCCCTTGTTGTTTCCCCTTCCAATCAGGATGTTATTAACTTTATTTAAGGTGAACATTTAAAGGACTTGAGACACAGCAATTTGAATCTTCAGGTTTTGTCCCTCACTGCTCTCAAGGAACCTTTGCACATCTGAACATCAAGGTCTGAAATGTAAATCATTTTTTCACAAAGGCACAGATATTCTGCACACAGCTCAAAAATGCCATCCTAAGGTAATTTCCTTATTTCATATCAATCAGGAAGCTTTGCCACCCACTTGCCCCCCCCCTACTCTGTCTCTACTCGCACACATTGTATTTTGTCTATTGATTATCTATTTATCTGATGCATACAGCTTCATGGAGAAAATGTTCTTGTGTTTTTGTCATTTTGCTAAGCCTGGTACCTACAACTGATACCTGTATCATTTTAAAACTCCTTCATGGATTAGATTTGGTATTAACCATTACAGTACAGCAACATAGGCTTTTTGTTAATATGTTTGGATAAACTTTTCAAATGATTTGCTATTTGTGGATACACTTTAAAAAATATATATATATATTAATAGATTAATATTAATAAATATGTCATATAATTTTTTTTATCAAAATACCAAATTATTTTCCAAGATATTAATGTCAAAAGTTTATCCAAAAATATGAAATCAATGCCTTTATCCTTTCTTATCTCAGCTACATGTCCATGTCTGTTTGACTTTTAAGCTATCTTTCAATCACTCTACCTGTCTTGTACATTTTATATAAATAACCAAGTGGCAGTTTTATAGATATACAGCTGATGAGAGCATCTTGTAAAATAATATTTAAGACAAATGCAGCTGCTTCCTTGTTAGCACATTATATTTACAGTGAAGTACTCTTTATGCTTCATTGAATTGTGTTGAAAAAGCTTATACTTGGCATAGTAATGGGAACAAAGCAAGTTTGCAATCGTGTTTATGCACAAATACATCTTTACTCATCATTTTATACTAATAGTTTATGTTATCCATAGCAATATAGAGGCCTTGTGAGTGACATTTAAAGTCATTTAAGCTTTCAGGTGATTGGATTAACTTAATGCCATTTACTAATTAAAACAAATGTTAGAAAGTACAGGACCACTGATTCATGAGAAATACAAGTCAAAGATATTTAGTATAATTGATTTCTCTGGTTTGGTATCTTTAACTTTAATCTTCTTCAGAAGTGCGTTTCAATATGTTACCATTAATTACAGACTCTGCATACAAAGGACTTGATTTGGAGATGGTGCCAATTGTGTAAATATTATTTGAGAGTTAAGGCTCCAGAGATAAAAAGTATGCACAGTAAAATAGGTTTGTTGTTGAGAATGGAATTTTGATACTAACCAGACTTAGAATCTTCAGCGTGCTTGTCTTCCACTTACAAAGACTATTAAACAATCTTTCCGTTACCATAGGAAATTCCCCAACTGTTTACATCAAAGCGTTTCAGATGCTTTGACTGATATAAATTGTGTGTGCAAATAGGTATATTAGCGGTTTATATGGAAACAGTAATTTAGTTCAGTGAGAGCGCAACATAAACAGTTGCTCAGAAATAAACAACATTCATTTCTTGTCTTTTTTTTTTAAAACATTTTTTTTTTTAGAATTTGCTGTATTAGGTAGTTGGTGATGCTGCCCACAGAAAAGCCGGTTACATGAAAATAAACTAGAATGATGGATTTACAATAAACACATTTGATGGAGGTCTAATGTCAACATTTATTATAATCTTTCAAATTTCCAGTTATTTATATCTGGTGCCAATGAGGAGTTGTTATTTTATGCACATCTAATTCCTAAGTTGTTAATATGTTATTAAGCCAAAAGTTGGGATGATCAAATCTTCATTATTCTTTAGAAACAGATAACTAGAACATCTCTGGGCAAGACAGCAAAATATACTTTGTGCTTTAAAACTGCATTTACCTTTCTAACAAGGTATTTAATAATTTGCACGTGCAACCTTTCCTATCTGTAGGCCATTATCTACTCAGATTGTGAGCTTTACTTTGCAGTAATCTTCTTTCCTATTGCTGACTATGTATCCATTGTACATTGTATAATAACTGCTGTATTTATTGTAGTTCCTTCAAAATGTGATTTCAAGTACAAAGCAGTGATATATATCCTCCCATGAGCATTATAGAACAAGAGCTACTCAATGGAATGGATAAACCTTCCACACACTAACTAGTTTATGAGCTTACTTATGGTGTTCTGTTTTATACTAAAGAGGCAGAAGCAGAAAGCACATCAAAGGAAACACTAAGTTAAACAAGTGCTAGCTTTTGATTGCCTATGCTATAAAAAAATTAAACACCACCCACCATTGTGCAAATAAAGTGAAAAGACCTGCAATATGTCTCCAGTTGTGCTTGTAACACATCTCCAAAGGCTAGGCACAATAGGAAACCCAAAAACAGTGTTGAAGGGGTCACAGGGGCCCAAATTATCAAGGATGTACTCTGGAAGTAGCTACTTGTCCTTAACCTTATAATATGGTGGAGGGATATAGTGATGTCCTGAACGGTTCGCGAACGGTTCGCCACGAACGGTTCACCTCGGACTCATCATTGAGTAAACTTTGACCCTGTACCTCACAGTCAGCAGACACATTCCAGCCAATCAGCAGCAGACCCTCCCTCCCAGACCCTCCCACCTCCTGGACAGCCCACTAAGAATGCAGCTTCACAATGAATGTAAAATGGATGCTGTCCAGGAGGTGGGAGGGTCTGGGAGGGAGGGTCTGCTGCTGATTGGCTGGAATGTGTCTGCTGACTGTTCGTTACAGGGTGAAAGTTTACTCAATGATGAGTCCGTGGCGAACCGTTCATGGTGAACCGTTTGCGAACCGTTCGGCGAACCGTTCGGGACATCACTAGAGGGATATAATAACCAGGAAATATCCTTAGCATATCCTCTGTTCTTTGGAACTGTGAGTAGTAAGTATTTATGATGGACCATTTATCCCCAAGTGCCTAGCCAACCAGTGGGAGGATCAGTGATACTCATTACATTGTTTACTCTGTATGATTGGGCTAGGGGTCATGAAACATTCTGTTTGAAATACTATGAAGCTCCAATTAGTAGACCAGGGAATGCCAAATTCCCCTCCTTATGCTTTTGTTGCTATGGCAGTGGCATAGAGTGGGTTGCCAGCAGCCTGGGGCAAGGCAAGAATTGTGCCCCCCTAATAGGTGGGCTCTTAGCACTCCCCGAGTCTTTTAACGAGAACCTAGCTGCCTCATCTCCATGATGTGTGCCACACTGATAGTTGCATTGCATAATTATAGTAATAATAGTCTATACACATTACTTTAGGTGTGAGGTACTTTTTGGATCACAGAGACGAGGTGGATAGGGAAGGAAGAGCGAGACTATCTAGGTGAGGCTATCTAGATGCCTGTTACCAGTGTACCAGTATTATACCATTTAATAGACATTTACATAAATCAAGCTATTTTACTGATAAGGATTACATGAGGACAGTATAGCTGCAATTAGCAAGAAAAATTGAAGATTATGCTAGCGCAGTGTACTAATAATCTTAACTTTAATAATGACATGAGGCGAATATTTTGCATTAACTTTCTTTACTAACTCCATAGCAGCAAAGAAAAAAAATAGTTGAAATAAAGAACCAATCAGAGCAAGTCAGAGTATATATAAGTCCAAGCATGAGCAATCATTTCCTCTTGACTAATGCAACATCACAAGTCAATAATGTAACAAATAACATGTCCGATCCAGCTTGATCCAAATTGAAACCGATAATGGAATTGAGTCATCCTAGTAATCCATAAGACTTGTTAAACTGAAAGAAAAGAGAGACTAGTATCAGTGATACGGAATCGACCGTATGAAAACATAAGTCTATGAGTATATATATAAATCCTTATAATGACTAATCTGACTAACCATAAATGTTATCATATAGAGTCAATCCACAATGATATAAACATCAGCAATCCAAACCATAGTTCATACCAGTATAAATGTTTAATCTTTAGAATTAGACTAGTACCCATTAATTCTAACTTACCTCAGATTAGGGTGGGAACGTCAAGTCGAAAAGGGGGGGAAAATATTCGCCTCCTGTCATTATTAAAATTAAGATTATTAGTACACTGCGCTAGCATAATCTTCAATTTTACAACATGACAGGAGGCTTCATATTTTGTAATTTTAATGCTTAGGTAGACGAGCGAATGCAGTGTTGAACGACGGACGGAAATAGAATGTCTGGAACGTCGGTTCATGGGACCAGTCCGCCGCTATTAATATGTCTGCTAGGGATGCACCCGGTAGAAAAAACGGATGATGTCATTGCCCCTCGCAAGGAATGTGCGTCAAAAGACAGGCCTAAACCGGTTAGGGAGAGGATCCATTGATCAATCTGGCCAGTGTGGTGACCGAAACCGGACCATGAGGGTTAACATATGACACCCATAGCTGTCGGTCTGTCGGTGGGCGTAACTTCTCCGCTGCCGCCCTATATGCCCACCACAGACAGTTGGGGGTCCCAGGTGAGGACCACAGACAGTTGGGGGTCCCAGGTGAAGAACGGTTAGGAGATCGATGACCACATACCTTCTTTGAAGGTTGACGAGAGGAAGTTCATGATCTTGGAAACAGGGGCAGTAAAGGGATCCTGGTCCCGTCCCATGCCCTAACTGGTCCAAGATCGCCCTGCCGATAAGTAGCTCTTTCACGTTCCAAGGGTCCAGGAGTCCCATAGAAGATTCTTAGTCATTGTCGATAAAACGTTTGTACCCCATGTTCCCCTGAAAGAGTCCAGGTTACCAAGGATAGGCGTCCGTCCAGTAGCATAGGGTGTAGGTTTCCCACTGGGTCCCTGAGTAGGGTTGAGTCATTCAGCAGCAGAATTGGGTCCTCATAGGATAACCAGAGGGTTACTTATTACTTGTCTCCGGATGTGGTGGAGAACTTTCGCAATCATAACAAATGGTGGAAAGGCATAAGCCCCCTGTGATGGCCAGCGCTGGTTGAAAACATCCACCGCTGAGCACTCCGGTCTGGGAGCCAGCTGTAAGTGCGGTAATTGATTGTTGCGTTGGCTAAACAGATCCAGTAGGAAGGGTCCTTTCCGTTCGTTCAGGTAGGCGAATATCTGCGGGTTCCACTGCCAGTCACTGGCGTCTCTTGTGTCGGGAGTACCAATCTGCGATAGGGTTTGACCCCCTGGTAAATGTTCTGCACGTATCATGCAGATTTCCTTAGTCAAATTCGCCAGTTTTTGTGAAGGAGTCCCTCCCAAGTTGTTGATGTACCGTACTGCAGATATGTTTTCCATCCGTAGAAGTATCCAACAATTGGATTGTCCTTTCGTTAGGTTGTGTATAGCAAAATGACCCCGCTAGTAGTTCGAGGCAGTTGATATGCATGGAGAGTTTCCTGGGTTGTCCACGTTCCTCCTGTGGATGCCTCCCCACCTGTGGCACCCCATCCCAGTCGGCTCACGTCCGATTCTGGTATGAAGTTCAAGTGGTTGCCGGAGATGGCCCGACTGTTCCGTGCTTGCATGCAGTTGTGCCATCATCCAAGTTCTTGGCGCACATCGTCCGTCAGCAGAACTGGTTGGTTATACGTGGCGCTCCATCGAAGGAAGCGGGCTCTCAATCGTTGCATGGCACGAAAAAGCAGGGGCCTGGAAATATAGCTTGTCTAGGTGAGGAGGGTAGGCCAACGATCCGCGTCAGTTGTCGGAGCGGAATGGAATCGAGCTTGAGTACTCTGCGGACCTCTTTCCTGATGGCCGTCGCTTTGGTTGATGGGAGTATGCGAGACCTGGAGTTTATCTCCAAGCCCAGGAATTGAATTTCTTGCATGGGGTCATTCCTGGTCTGGCTCTTTTGACGATGAAACCCGGGGATTCCAACAATTGTACCATATAGTCGGTATGTTGTACGGCCAGTTCTCTCGTTCTGCAGACTAAGAGTATGTCGTCCGGGTAAGTGATACATCTGATCCCCCACATTCTGAGGTGTGTTACCCCTGGTCTCAACATTTTGGTGAAGTACCCTGGTGCAGAGTTTAGTCTGAGAGGGAGGCAAGTGAATTGCCATGGGAAGCCATGCCACAGTAACCGAAGGAAGGGGCGGCTGACTTTGTGAATTGGGATCGACCAGTATGTGTCCTTGAAATCTAGATGCGTAAACCAGTCCCCCTCTTGAAGGAGGTCCCTTAGTAAGTGTATGCCTACCAAATTGAAGTGGCGGTAAGTCACTTGGGAGTTCCGGTCTCTTAAATTTATCACCAATCTGAAATTCCGGTTTTCTTGCGGGCGAGGAACATGATGCTGAAGAAGCCCCCTTGTTTGCACATGGGTTGCATAGCGTCCTTCATGTGTAGTTTGCAGAGCTCCACTTCTACACTTCTATGAGGTGAGCGTGCGAAGTTGAGAGGTATAAGGGATGAGGAGGGTACCTTTGCACAGCGAACGTTCGTAATTCTATGTGGTGCCCATTGACCTTCTGTAACACCCATGGGATCTGTGGGTAGTTTTGCCCAATTTGGGAACAAAGAGAAACACGGCCGGCAGTCATGTTTAGTTGAGACATTGATAAGTGTTGGTCTCGTACCTGTGGGGACTCTTGTGCGGGTATATGCGCAACCACCCCATCATCTGTCTGTGCCCCTTTGGTAGTAGGGGTAGTGTTGTCTAGAGCCGGTGTGCTGGTAAGCTTGTTGCGGGTAAACTGCTGTGGGTTCCCCATACGGGGTCTGATGGCCCGAATCGGCTGGTGGCACGGCCCGTTGCCGATCAGCCCTGGGAGAAAACACCCCTTGAAGGGTTGTCCCTGAAGACCTTGTGCGTGGATGCACGGCTCTGTTCAACGAGGTGAACCTGTTAACCTGCTTATTCAGCTCTTTCATAAATGCCTCACCAAAATGTTACCCTGTGCCTGTAGACCTATTCTTTTACCCCCTGAATCGGCCTGTTTGGGGTCAATGCGGAAAAGTGCTGCGCGGCACCTCTCTATTGAGAGGGCCGTATTGGTATTCTCGAGAAAGCAGAAACCCCTCTAGGTCCATTCTCGGATATCATGTGCCCATTCACGCAACATGTCCGCAGTAAATGAGTCTGCTCTGGCGTAAGCTTCATTCGCCAGGTATATCACACGGGCCAGTGACCTCATCTTGTCCAGGAGCTTGTCTTGCGCCCCTTTAAAGCCTCTCTTGACCCCTTTTTCTGGGTCGTCCCTTCGCTCCATGAAGGCCAGCATGAGTTGGTCAAACTCTGGCATGAAAAGCCACCTTGTTTGGCAGGGGTGGTCTGGGCCACTCCACTCTTGTCCGTTTGCGGACATGTTTCTCCAGGGACTTGTGGGTCCAAAGTGCCTAACCCTGAGGAGGTGCTCAGGTCGGGCCCATTCCCCGGAGTGTTCCTAGGGTCAAACATCCTTTCCCTCCGTGGCATCCAGGAATGTCTCCTGTTCCTGTGTAGCAACTGTAGCGGATGGCTCCACATCTCCTGCACACTGGGGCTCACCCAGGGAGGTCTCCTTGACATATGCGTTGGAGCCCCAATCGCCCTTGTTAGACTCTAAGACCTCTGCCTGCCACTCATCCATGAGTGGAGAGGGATTGGGGCATATCTTTGTCCTCATTTGAGGAAATCTCTCGAGTTTTGTATGTGGGGCCATGGTCGTAGGGTGCCTTGCCCTTGTTAGCGGCATTTTGGACTTCTCACCTGTCTAGTGGCGTTTCGCCGGGCGTTGTCTCTCCTTGGAATCATCTGACTCATCTGAGT